AGTCTTTCCTATTCCGATAGTTCGTTTAAAAAGCAGTGGAAAAAAATATTTGTTCCCTACTGGGATGACTGACCCTTTTATTCCAAATTTGATTCTTTATAAGTTGAATTATGGCATTTAAAAACTAGTCTAACATGTTCCTCACTTCAACCAAAAACTCTTTACAGCTATCCACTTTCTTCTGCTTCACTGTTGCGCCCATTCTGTTTTCAAGATACAGCTAACATAGTTCAATTTTTGTTCGATACTCTTTACTGATTCTGTAAACCTCCTCCTAGGTTTCAATATCTGACTTATGATCGTTAGCATTGGTTCTATTTGCACTATTATTGTTGTATCCAAAATCTTATTCAATTATTTTATTTGAAAAATTATCATGTAAAAATTGCCAGCTTTCTTTCTTTACCAGAATGAAGAGCTGTCAAAAAAAAAAAAAAAAACAAAAACAAAAATCAAGGTGTGAAAGAAATGCGGTGAGAACAGAACTGGGTTCTTATCTTAGAGCAGTAAGTAATGGTAAATAAAGGGTGGAAAAGAAGGGGAGATGGGTCTAAAGATATGAGATGAATTAAGTTCTCTTAAACTGTAAATTTCTTTTTTGTCATATCTTACTTTTTAGGTCAATTTATAAAAGATATTTCGATGTTAAACTTTCTTTTTTTTTTTTATTGAAAAAGGTCACTATTTCTCAGTTATTCCAGACTGATGTTGATCAAGGAACGGTATGTCCAACAATTCTTATTTGGTTAAATCATTTTGTTAAGTGACTTTTCAAAACAAAAATCTTTAGTTTTCCAAAAAATTATTCTTTTTTCCACTTTTCTGCCACTGTTGTAATCGTTTTTTGTTGTCGTTGTTGTTGTTGCTATTACTGGTTATAGTTGACAGATGACAACGGTTAACGGGTACTTCCACCTTTCCACTCATCTCCAAAAAAAAAAAAATATGAATTAGTTTGTTTTATTCAAGGTTGTTTCAGGCTTTATTAAAAACCGTTACTCATTTACAGGCTGCCGAAAACGGTAACCTCTTTTTTTTTTCAAATTTTATAATTTGTTGTACTGGACACAGTTCAGGTTGAAGTTTTCATTTATCAAAAAAAAAAAAATTCTTTCGTTTTTTTTTTTCGGTTCAAAAAATTCCGCTCCCTCCAAAAACAAAAAAAAACAAAAAAACAGAGATTTGCACTTTTTTTCCAATGTACGAACCAAATTTTAAACTAAATTTGAAAAAAAAAAAAAAAAAACGTTGACATTATTTGGTAGGGAGGAGGGAGAAATTTAAGCATCATTAATGAGTTGATGAAATATGATTCAGATGTCAGCCAACTACCGTTAGGTTATTGTTGTTGTTGTTACCGATGGACGTCAATGACAGATCAGCAACTACAGTATCGCCCCCGAATTCATATCTTCATGCATCGTTGTGTGCGTCT